TGTGAGGTAAAGTGTGTCGCCAAGGTAACCGGTTAAAACTCCAAGTGGCGATGAGGTCTTAAAATGTATGGAAAGGGTCTTAAACAAGGTCTTAAAAGGTTTTACATGTGACTTCAGGATTCCTGCATATACCCTGAATTAGAACAAAGCAGACATAGGTGCGGTTTCAGGTGCCATTATTCGGTGCCACTTTAGACTGATGAATGTCAGTTTTCACCTGGTGACACAAAGTGAACTCTGGAAGGGAACCCAGCCGTTTCCTGTAAATTGACAGATCGTGCTGTTTTTTAGGAAGGATACTAGTTTGGACACGTGCCTGGGTGGAACTGCTCCAACAGAAACACGCTTGGGTTGGATGAGAGGTCAGCCAAACCATGTCCAGTGGTGTAAAAAAAAAACACTCTTTCCAAATATGTGGCACATGGAAAGTAGTTTGGATTTGATACTGTGTGTACAAAGCTGTCAGTTTTGTACCAGCCATCAATGTAGGATAGGGGGCTTTTTTTGTTATGGTGGCCCCTCTTCTTTACACTGCTATTAGATATCACATTACATCACTTCCTGCACACTTCCTGTCCAGTTTGACCAGGAAAAACCCAAAGACACTCCAAGTAAATCTGCAGTCTATAGTCTAATGAAGCTGATGCAGTGACGTCCTCTCTCATGTTTCACTGTAACACACATAGAGGAGCGTCTTTCTTTCTTTCACCCGGGCGACCCCTCCTCCAAAGATCCTCCTGAGCGAGTGTTAGTGATGACCTCATTTGTTCCAGGCTGGCCCTCCTCCTCCTCCTCCTCCCCTTTCTTCCTCCCTCTCTCCAGCCCCCTAATGAGAACAAGATGACAACTTCATACCAGACTCAGCCGGGGTGACACAGAAACTACGAGGCGGACATGCTTTGTGTTTGCATGCTTTTACGGTGAATAGTCCTAAGTCTCAAGTAGGGAAGCAACTCATGATTATACAGTCTCCAGAAGTCGATGAACTGTCCGGAAATATCCAAAATGCATTAACATTCAACGCTAGAAATTCAGTTTCGTGATCAGATTAACTTTTGAATAGTCCGAGACAAATTAAATCAGATCCAAAATTCAATTTAATTGTTTATAATATCTATTCAAACTATTTGTTTTGATAAATCAGTTAGACATCAGACTAAATGCTAAGATGACAGATGATTCATCAGGATTTGCACATCACCCTGAAGCATTGCAATTTAAAACAATTGTGTTTAAACATCTACGAACAAGCTCGACTCTTGTCTGGAGGGCACTTGGTAAACCAAACTTCAAATGATTTATTTTTTTCAAGCCTCATTAAATGAATACCTTTTTAAACAATATTTCTTTCGTGCTATTGATTACATGTAATTGCCATCAAAAGATTTATGGCCTCACCATAAACTCTGAGGGGATTATTTTTGTCCAAACAAGCTCCTGATTCTCTGGAAATCACTTATGCTTTTATGTTTGGGCAACAATAACTTCCAAATGAAATAGCTGCATGTGTTTTAACACGTGAAGAAGTGTTGCACACAATGTTTTAGAAGCAGTTTAAAGTTTGGAGGTCGAGTTCAGACAGCCCAGCTCTGTGCTCTGCAGACAGGGGGTGTTTCTCAATGTCGAGGACGCTTCCTTGGTAGGACATGTACCTCCGAGTCAGGTCCTTCAGAAGCGAGGCAAGAATCCCTCCTTGCCTCAAAACATGAAGAATGGTGGAACTTAAATGGAGCGCGATTTCCGCCAAACATTTTGGGAAATTGGTCCGTGCGCAAAGCATTGTGGGGACTTTAAGACCGCGGAGGATACACATGTGCATCCTCGAAATTTCCCGCAATGAAGGATTCAGTCCTCGGTAGAATTTGAAGGATCCTGGACATTGAAACAGTCCTTCGGTGGGACTCGATGACGTAGCATCCTTGAAACAGTGACTCTGGAGCAGCCTTCCTTGACATTGAGAAACACCCAGTGGGACCTCTCACCCTGCTGCAATGCCTTATGGGAGATTCCTGTGAGTGGCTTCTGGGTAAAAGACAAATACTGATCATACATTGGCATTTAGTAAGCTGCATGATGAGGTAATGCTCTATAGAGCCGCACAATTCATCCACATGTTATCCAAATAGAAATATGGACTTGTGCAAAAGCCCCAATTTGTACAAAATATATTGCAAACATTTTTTTTTTCGAATCCTCAGCCTCGTAAGACTCGATATAAACAATAAAACGTTTCCTGTAAAAGGACTTCATAAGTTGCTACTTATTTTAGAAACATTTGAGATAATATTCTGCAAAAGCACATATTATATACAAGTACTCAATTATTTAGTTTACTTATTTTAAACAGTCTTTAAAAAAAAAAACAGTTGAAATTCAAAGCATATTCAGAGAAAATGTATTGAAATAACTCAAATCTGAATTTTATGATAATTTTTTTTTTTATCTTTTAACTCTTGTAATATATATGTATTGCCCTTTTTAAGGCTTTCATTTCCATATTGACTGGAAACTTAAAATGTACGTGTTCTGTGCCTTTTATATCTTTGGTAGTAGATGGCAGTAGTGTGATGTCAATGTGTAGGACCTTATCTGGATCCAAGTCAAGACCTGTATTTAAGAGCCATTAAGAAACTGCTCATAGGTCATTTAGGGAGCTAGTTGATTTCATAACAACCGTATAGCAGACTGCAAACAATGTGAGCTTCTGGATTTACGGATAAGTTCCCATAGCGAGCAGTAATCCTGTATCCCATCATGCTTTCTGCTGTGTGGTCTAACAAGACATACAGACGAGCTACTGTGCATGACTAAAAGAGAGGGTAATTATCAATAATATATCAATCTAACGCCGTCTCCATTCCCCTGATTTGAACAACACATGAAGTCCTTTTCATAACTCTTTCAGAGGAATACGTGTCAATGAGCTTTGTGGAGCGATGACTCACACACTCTTAAGCCGTCTCAGCATTTAATCTTGGGTAATTGTCACCCACACACACCTGAGTCATGATTACTGCATTGTGTGTGTGTGTGTGTACCGATGAATGTAAAGCCGGCAGAGATGGCAATAGTACGTCACATCCTTTACTCAAGTAGAAGTACAGATACTCGTGTTTAAAAATACTCTGGTAAAAGTAGAAGTATTTGTGTTGAAAATGTAAGAGGTAGAAAGTACAGGTATTTGTGTTCAAAGTGTAAGAAGTAGAAAGTACAGGTATTTGTGTTCAACATGTAAGAAGTAGAAAGTACAGGTATTTG